AATAAGTGTTGTTCAAAGTAATACATTCCAGGGTTTGTCTTGAGATGTTACCTCCGGAAAGCTCTATTCTAGTCATTCATGCACAATTTCTTTTCAAGTCCTACACTCGGATCTTCCACAAAAGTTTTTGGGGACCCTGACATACCAGATTTGCACATTCCTCTTCTGAGGATTAGGTCTGATTCACAGGTGTTTTTTTTTCCCTTTGGCATGTTGTATTTCACTTCTCATGTTTATCGTTTCTTGCATTGCAGGAGACAAATTCCGCCTTGTGATAGCCAGCACCTTGTATGAAGATGGAACATTGGATGATGGCGAATATAATCCTACAGATGATAGGCCCTCCAGGTGACAAAAAGTCTAGGATGGAGGCCAGTGTAAAGAAAAGGCAGCGGTTGTCACAGATCTGATTTTTTTGGTGGTCTCATCTAAGCTTTGAGTTTTTAAATCTGGTGGGGTAATAATAAGGGATTCGTCTCCAGCTGGCTGGAAAATTCTGGGAGTTGAAGTCCACAAGTCTTAAGGTTGCCAAGTTTGGAGACCCCTGATCTAGAGGAACAAATATTGTCCCCTGGATTTTAGACTAGTCTACAAATGTCTCCCTTCTCCTCCTCCACCTCAAAACTTCATGCCAATCCTATGAGGTAGGTTAGGCTGAGAAAATGTGCTTGAGTTCTGTTACTCACAATGAACCACAACGAAATACAGGTAGTCCTCGATTTACAACAGTCCATTTAGTGACCGTTCAAAGATACAGTGTCATTGAAAAAAGGGACAACCGTTTTTCACACCGAAAAGTGACTTACGACTGTTTCCCCACCATCACATGATCAAAATTCAGGTGGTTGGCAACTGGTTCATATTTATGACAGTTGCAGTGTCCCTTTTGTGACCTTACGACAAGCAGTGGAGGATCCAAATTCACATAACAACCACATTGCTAACAAATGCAGCAATTCACTTAACAACTGTGGCAAGAAAATGGGGCAAAACTCACTTAAATGTTTCACTTAGCAATATACGTGTTGCCCTCAATTGTGGTTGTAATTCGAGGACTCCCTGTAATCCAGTCTGAAGTGTGCAGAGCCATAGAATGATAATTTTAAGAATTGAAGGCAAAGACATTTTTGCTCTTGCACAAAGAATATTTTGATGTCTGTATGTCACAGATGGAAGGCTTGAGTTTTGGATTGATGCTGAATGTGCTCCTTCATTTTTGGTGTTTCTGATATTTTAATATATGTTCCCTTCTTTTGGCCGGCTCTTCTTATTACCACAGGGCAGATCAGTTTGAATACGTGATGTATGGGAAAGTGTACAGGATTGAGGGCGATGAGACATCAACGGAAGCAGCCACACGCCTGTAAGTCTCTTTTCTGAAATAAGGTTGAAAAGCTTATCATGTTTTGACATCACACAAAGCCATAACTTGATTGGTTGGGTTCAGGCTGAGGATGTTGTTTGAGGGTTTACAACAGAGGTATTCAGCAAGTGCTGACCAGTTCTGGAGAACCAGTAGTGGAAATTCTGAGTAGTTCAGAGAACCAGTAAATACCACCTCTGACTGGCCCATCTATTCTCTGCCCCCAAGTCCCAGCTGATCGGGAGGGAATGGAAATTTTGCAGTATCCTTCCCCTGCCACGGCCACCAAGCCATGCCACGCTCACAGAACCGGTAGTAAAAAAAAATTGAATCTCACTACTGGTCTACGACATCTCGCCACAAGCAACTAGGTACAGTCAATTCATCACAGCCAAATTGTTTGCAACAATTCACCCTAGTTAACTCGCTGAAGGACGACTTGCCACAGGGCAGGAGTTATCCTGATATTGTAGAAATAGTTGAACAGAATCATTAAAGAAAGGATGCAAAAGGAGGGACAAAATAAAATGTGAAGGACAAAAATTGAAATAACGTTTAAATTATTTTAAATAATTAAGTTGAATTGCCCCACAGCAAGTTGGCCGCTGCAAATTGATCGTGGTGAGTTGGCTAAGGCGAGTTGTCCCATTCCATTCTCAAGGTGTGCTAGATTTTCTGAGCTTAAGAGGCGCAGTGGTTAGAATGCAGTTTTGCAGGCAAATTCTGCCGACTGCTAGCAGTTCAATTCTCGCCAGCTCATGGTTGACTCAGCCTTCCATCCTTCCGAGGTGGGTAAAATGAGGACCCAGATTGTTGGGGGCAAATATGCTGACTCTGTAAATTGCTTAGAGGGGACTATAAAAGCACTATGAAGCGGTATATAAGTGCTATTGCTAATGCTATGTCATTTTGGCAAAACCAGCGGAAAATCATGGGATGCTGCAAACAGCTGTATGAGCAGTCCATTTGCTGAGCATCTAAAGTACAGGTAGTCCTTGACTTAGAACAGTTCATTTTGACGTTAGGGTCAGGTAGAGTAGAATTAGAGTAAAGTAGAATAGGGTAAGGTAGGGTAGAATTAGAGTAGAGTAGCATAGAATAGCATAGAATAGAATAACAGCATAGAATAGCATAGAATAGCAGTTGGAAGGGACCTTGGAGGTCTTCTAGTCCAACCCCCTGCCTAGGTAGGAAACCCTACACCACTTCAGACAAATGGCTATCCAACATCTTCTTTAAAACTTCCAGTGGTGGAGCATCCACAACTTCTGGAGGCAACATTGTTCCAGTCTATTCCGTCTCTTATCTCATCCTTCTTTCTCCCCTCCTCCAGCTCTGCCTACGTCTCCTATGGTGGCCTCCTCATGAGACTCCAGGGAGATGCCAACAACTTGCATGGCTTTGAAGTGGATTCGAGGGTCTACCTCCTGATGAAGAAATTAGCCTTCTGAGCAGCTTCTCCCATCAAACTGTCAAAGGCTCAATTAGCAGCTTGGGACATTTCAGAAAAACAACACGAATCTTCCTCGGCTTCCCTTCCCGATTGGAGCAAAGCTCGGCAACGAATTAGAAGCCCCCTTCGGATGTTCTCCACCTCTTAGCAGCCACAACAAGGACAGTTTTTTTTCTCCATGCCATTTTTTTTCCCAGGGCCCTTTGCAGTTAGGAAGCAGCTGCCAGGCTACATGGGCAGCATTCCTTCTGAAACTGAAGCGTAGTATTTCCCGGTGCCGGAAACTCTATGCTTTTGACAAGGTGATGTGTTTTACAGGGCATTTTCCTACAAAGGCAACACTTGCCATTTCTGGTAAACTGGGCTTGTTTCGTGTTTTTTTTTTTTTTTTTTTTTCTTCCTTCC